AAGCAACTCCTAGCCATCTCCTAGGGTGCAGGTTCAAACACTATTCACACAGAACACCTACAGGGGAAATGTTGCAGCTTATTAGACAGGCTGAAATAACACAAATGCAAATGAGAACTTCTTACCCTTACCTCAGGAAACAGCTTACCTAAAACCAAACCAAGCTATGGGTATTATCCCTTTGAAAGAAGCTGCACAGTTTTGCTTACATCAAGAAGCCATCTCAGCAGTATAGAGTTGCTTTATTTGTTTGCTATGAATTTGTCCCAGCTCTAATTTTTCTGCCATCTTGTTAATTTTAGTTGCTAAGAGCTGCACAGTCTGAGACTAGCCCCCTTTTTTTATTTATCTTTGCAATCTACCAGAGAAAAGGCCGCCGCCCATGGGACAGAGGGTCATTGATGAATGATAATCCAGCTTCTACCTAGGGCTTTAATAGGTCATAAGATTTTATGGTAACTATATTTGTAATGTATTTTTGTCGGTGTTTGTCGTTTGATGCTATGGCCTGTCGGCTACGCAAATAAAGTCTATTGATTGATTGATTGATTGATTGATTGCAATAACTGGAATTTCTGTGTTTTTTAATTTAATAATCTGGTCTTCCCTTCACCATCCTCTCTCTCTTTGTTCTGGAGTGGCAGCCATTTTATCTTCATTTTATAGTATATGCAGCGCTTTTTTGGAGGGGGTTTGCAGGGGTACGCATACCCCTAAACATTTTGTGAATCTTTGTACTTTTGTCCATTTACTGTATTTATTTTTCCTTATTTGAACTATAGATTAGATTAGATTAGATTAGATAAATTTATTGTCATTGTCCGTATATACACAGTATACACAACAACGAAAATCAAACACCCACTCGAAGACCGGGTTCACATACACATTTGCACGTATCTCCAACACTCTCATCCTATTCAGACATAATCTATAAAAACATATCATACTCCAAAATGTAACATAACCTATTAAAAGCATAACATAACCTAAAAACCTGTCTCATTCCTTCCTACTCCCTGCTTGCTATTCCTTGCAACTGGCCCTGAGATCATTATTTAGTGCAATCAGAGCTCTTGGATAGAAACTATTCAGAAGGCGTGTGGTTCGTGTTTTCATTGTCCTATATCTTCTGCCCGAAGGCAACAGTTCAAAGAAGTTGTGAGCAGGATGGGTGGGATCTCTCAGGATATTGTGTGACTTCTTCAAAGTGCGAGACGTGAAGATCTCATCCAGGGTTGGTAGTTGGAGCCCAATAACATTCTGGGCAATTTTAATTATTCTCTGTAAAGCTTTTTTATCCGTTTCAGAGCTGCTCCCATACCACGATAATATACTATATGTTAAGACACTCTCAATGGTACTGTGATAATAGGACAGAAGTAGGTGCTGAGATAGATTCAGTCCCCTGAGCATTCTCAGGAAATACAACCTCCCCTGCACCTTCCTCACAACCATATTAATATTTACAGTCCATGAGAGGTCCTCAGAGATGTAAGTGCCCAGGTATTTAAAACTACCAACCCTCTCCACCTCCTCGCCATTTATGTGCAATGGTAAAAATACGCTTTTCTTTCTCCTAAAGTCAATTATGAGTTCTTTGGTTTTTTGGTGTTAAGCATAAGATTGTTTTCTTTACACCATTGAATTAACCCCTGTACTTCTTTCCTATAAGCAGTCTCATCGTTCTCACTAATGAGCCCCACCACTGTTGTATCATCCGCAAATTTGATGATTGTGTTGGACTCATACAGTGGGGTACAATCAAATGTGTACAGGGAATAGAGAAAGGGACTTAGCACACATCCCTGAGGGGCTCCTGTGCTTAATACTAGAGTAGAAGAATAGTAAGGGCCCATTCTCACTGTCTGCGGCCTATCAGTCAGGAAATTCCTTACCCACAGACAGATCTTCTGATGTATACCCAAATTGGTCATTTTAAGAAATAACCTGTCTGGCAGAATTGTATTGAAGGCAGAACTGTAGTCCACAAACAACAGCCTTGCGTAGGTTCCCTGTCGTTCTAGATGACTCAGTACAGTATGGACAGCGATGGAAATAGCATCATCAGTAGATCTATTTCTTCTGTATGCAAACTGGAACGGGTCCAGAGTGGATGGAAGACCAGCCTTAATATGATCTAGCACCAATCTCTCAAAACATTTCATAACAACAGATGTTAAGGCTATTGGTCTATAGTCATTGAGAGATACCACCACTGACTGCTTGGGGACTGGCACTATAATCGATGTCTTCAGGCAGGTAGGGACAGAACCCTGCAACAGGGATAGATTAAAAATGTCCGTAAACACACCAGCTAATTCTGCAGCGCAGTCCCTAATAGCCCGTCCCATGATTCCATCCGGTCCAGCTGCCTTCCTAATGTCAATGCTCCGAAAGGCACGTTGTACGTCACAGGTCTGTAATAAAAATGGTTGTCTATCAGTAGTAGTTTCTGATGATGTGCTGGTAGCCAATGCTGTAGTGACGGTAGTTCCAGTTCCCACCTCAAGGCGACTAAAAAATTGATTCAGTTGATCAGCCAGGTGCGCACTGCTGCTAGCCAGTTCGTTTTTGATATTTTGCCCTGTAATTTGTCGCAGGCCTTGCCATACTCGACGAGGGTCGGAGCTCTCAAAATGTTTTTCGATCCTCCGGCAGTACATAACTTTGGCGTTCCTAATGCCCTTTTTCAATTTGGCTCTGGCTTCTCTATACTGTTGCGCATCACCAGAGTGAAAAGCAGCATTTCTTGCCTTTAACAGAAGATACACATCCCTGTTTAGCCAGGGCTTGTTGTTAGGGAACACCCGTATTTGTTTGGTGGTAGTGACAACATCAATGCAGCTTTTAACGTAGAACAGTACTGTTGAAGCGTATGTGTCCACATTATTCTCCACAAAGAGCGACCACTCGGTGCTCCGAAAGCAATCTTGAAGTTGCTCAGATGCACCTACTGGCCACACTCGTATCTCTCTAGTTGATGGTCTAATTCTGCGTACGAGAGGTCTATATGATGGTATCATAAGTAAAGATATGTGGTCTGACTGCCCCAAATTGGGCAAGGGCTTGGTCTTGTATCCATGCATGATGTTACTATATACTCGGTCCAGGGTATTTCTCCCCCTAGTGGGACAATCAACATACTGGTGGAACTTAGGGAGCACAGTTCTTAAATCGGCTCGGTTAAAATCACCAGCAACCACAAATGCTCCATCCGGGTGGGCCCGCTGCTGTCTGCTAATAGCAGTTAGCAGGTGGCCCATAGCTGTAGTAGTGTTTGCATCGGGAGGTATATACACCGCTGTTATTATAACAACATTAAACTCACGTGGCAAATAAAAGGGCGGCACTTCACCACTAGGTACTCCAAGTCAGGAGAGCAATGCGTGTCCATTTGTTTGATGTCCGAGCTCCAGTTGTTATTTATATAAACGCAAATTCCTCCTCCTCTGCTCTTCCCGGATTCGGCGGTTCTATCCGCTCTAATTACTGAGCGTCCTTCTAGCTGCAGAAGTCCCTGTGGAAAGGAGGGATCCAGCCACGTCTCTAGAAGGACCATAACACAGCAGTCCCGGATACTTTTCTGCCGAGAGGTAATAAGTTCCAACTCCTCTACCTTGTTGGGTAAGGATCTCACATTTGATACAAGGAGACTTGGCAATGCAGGCTTGTGGGGATTTTTACCTAGCCTCACTCGTAGACCAGCCCTGCAACCCCTCTTCTGCTTGCGCCCCCTCCGTTTTCTCCGTTTTTCTTTTCTTTCTGGCAAGGAGAGCAAGGGGAGTATCCCAAGAATGTGCAAAATATGGAGGCTCTCTGATAAGCTCAGCTGGAATGTTATAGGTTGAGACCTCCTGGCTGCAACCTTCTCCTCTGCCGATACTTAAGAGCTCTTGACGACTATAAATTACTTGTGCCTGAATATTCACAGTCCCTAGCAGCAATAAGTTCACAAGTAAGAATAAAACACAAATCACTGAATACCGGTCTTCGGAGTGCCGAGCCGCTGCAAGTGCTTGCGCCGCCATCTTGACCTCACCTATATAAACTATATAACTATAAAATGGTGCTTTTCTTGAGTCAAAATGAGAGAACCCCTAAATATTTTTTAAGGGGAAAAAATACTGAATATATGGATCCTAAATTGCTCCTCTGGGTGTTTCTACTCCCCCCCCCCAAAAAAAATGCATCTATAGCCACCACCATCCATTTCCCACACATTTTCAAGGGGGCCCAAACTTGAACTGCAGATTAGGGAGAGTGGCTGTAGAAAAAAAGACTACTATCTAGGGCAGCCTACACACAGGCTTCCCTGGCTCAGATGTTCACACCTAATGCATGGATGTCAGTGGTGGGGTTAGAAAGACATGAAACTACAGCAGCAGCATGGCATGACCCCTTGGCCTCTTTCGTCATGTAATGCTCTTTCAAGTGAAGAGGCTAAAATGGCCAGTGATCCACTTCAGAGTTTTATTGGTAGTGGACAGCAGCTATCTATACTGCCTTTCCTAGGCAAGGCTTTCAATTCACTTCTGTAATCTACATCTCAGAGCTACAAATAAAAATCTTCATCACCTGTGAAGATTGTTGACTGACAGATGACTCTCTAGTCATTGGTTTTGTGGAAAAGTGTCAAAATACAAAAGAAAATCCTAGCCAAAAGACTAAAAAAGATACTAACAAAAATTATACACGAAGACCAAGCGGGTTTTTTACCGGGCAGGCAAATAAAAAATAACACAAGAAGTATAGTTAATCTAATTGAATATCTTTCTGATAGATGTGATAAACCAGCCAGTCTAATCTTCGTAGATGCGGAGAAAGCCTTCGATAATGTAGTCTGGGATTTCATGTTGAAAAATTTGGAAATTATGGAGGTGGGCCAAGAGTTTCTAAATGGCATAAAGGCAATTTACACAGAACAGAAGGCGAGACTGATAATTAATAATATCATCACTGAAGATATAAAAATATCCAAAGGAACAAGACAGGGATGTCCGCTTTCGCCGTTGCTCTTTATTGTGGTTTTGGAAGTCTTACTAAATGCAATAAGACAAAATAAACAAATTAAAGGGGTAACATTAGGTTCAAATGAGTACAAAGTTAAAGCCTACGCAGATGATGTGGTCTTAACAGTGGAAGAACCTATAGAGAGTATAAGGGAGATTTTGGAAGAGATGGAGAAATTTGGGAAGCTAGCAGGATTTAAATTGAATAAGAGTAAGACAAAAATGATTGTTAAAAACTTAGATCAGGATAAGATTGAATTAGTACAGCAACGAACCGAAATTGAGGTTGTTAAAAGGTTAAATACTTGGGACTCTGGCTTACCAACAAAAACATCGATTTATACCAAAATAACTACACCCCGGTTTGGAATGGAATTAAAAAAGATCTGGAGGTCTGGGCCAGGATGAAATTATCATTCTGGGGAAGAATATCTATGGTCAAAATGATGGTGCTCCCAAAGTTGTTATTTTTATTCCAAACGATACCCATATTAAAAGGTACAAAAAACTTTAAAGAATGGCAAAAGGTGATCTCTAGATACGTCTGGGAAGGAAAGAAGCCCAGAATTAAGTTTAAGTTATTAACAGATGTAACAGAAAGAGGGGGCTTCGCCCTACCAGACATGAGACTGTATTACGAAGCAGCATGTCTGTGTTGGATAAAAGAATGGGTAAAGTTGGAGAATAAAGAACTACTAGATCTGGAAGGGCACAATAATAGATTTGGGTGGCATGCGTATCTATGGAGGGATAAAAGAGAGTGCATAAAGAATTTTGTAGCCACATCTTTAAAGGTCCACTAATAGAGGTCTGGGACAGATATAAAAATATATTAGAACCGAAAACCCCACATTGGCTATCCCCGTTGGAGATAATAAGTGTAAAGAAAGTTAACATGAGAGAAAAGTGGGGAAAGTATGGAGAAATGGTTACTAATGAAGGAGGGAAGTGGAAAGTAAAATCATACGATCAGGTTAAAGTATTTACATATGACTGGCTGCACTATTTTCAGATAAATGAAATGTTTAAAGAAGAGGTGAAGGAAAGGGGTTACGAGGAAAAGGAATCGGAATTTCAAAAAGAGATAATAAACAACGAATATAAAAACCTGTCAAAAATGTATAAAATATTGTTAGAGTGGAACACGAAGGAGGAGGAAGTAAAATCTGTCATGGTACAATGGGCTAGGGATTTCGGTTATAACATTCAACTAGAGGATTGGGAAAAGTTATGGAGAGTGAACATAAAATTTACGGCATGCACGTTACTGAGAGAAAATGTGATGAAGATGCTCTACAGGTGGTATATGACACCTGTAAAACTGGCTAAGATGTATAAGGCAGATAACAAATGCTGGAAATGTAAACAAAAGGAAGGGACTTTTTATCATCAATGGTGGGAGTGTAAGAAAGTTAAAAGCTTCTGGGATGAAATTTACAACGAAATGAAAAAGATGTTAAGTTATACTTTTGTAAAAAAGCCAGAAGCCTTTTTATTAGGCATTGTGGGAAAGGATATCAGAAGGAAGGATTGCAAACTCTTCCAGTATGCGGTAACGGCAGCCAGAATTGTGATAGCTCAGAAGTGGAAGCAGGAAGAAATCCCAACGATAGCAGAGTGGAGAGTAAAACTGACAGAATACGCTGAGTTGGATAAATTAACAGGGAAAATCAGATATACTAAGGATCAAAAGTTTATTGAGGACTGGGGAAATTTGTGGGTTATCTGGAGAATAAATGTTTTGTAAATACAACGCTAGTGGGATTTAAAGAGGCACTGTAAAGAATTAATAAGTATTGTTTAATAGAAATAATGTATGAAGGAAGGAACGAATGGCAATATGAAAGAATGGAATGTGTTTTAAAGATATAAATACGAATGAATGTCAATGACGCTGAAGGAAGTTCAAAATGTATGAGATATATTGAAATATGGATATACTGTATAAAAAATGGGAAATCAATAAAATTTTTGAAATACAAAAAAAAAAAAAAAAAAAATACAAAAGAAAATTCAACCTCAGTTGGAAAATGTGCATTGCACACAATGCTGTTATAAACAATGTCATGTAACTTAAATATCTTTTTGAAAAAAAACACTTCATAAGGAAAATGACGCAATTGGACTACCCCAGGTATCTTTGGCATCTGCTATCTCACAGTTTTATTAGACTTACTGGTAATTTTATTATTCTAAATATCTAAAGTAAATGAGATCTGTAACATACATCACTAAGATACATGCAGTGTTCGAAACTCCTATTGTTCTTGGTGCATTTTTGCAACAGGGAATTTCATTTGCGCGGGCAGTTTCTGAGCCCTGGATGCAGTACTGCGCCTAAGATTTCACGTTAAAACTGTGGAGTGGAAGGAAAGGAGGACCTTTTTCTGCCTCACTACTTCTAGCTACTCTCTGAAGACTGGAGAAGAGACCCTCTTAAGAATATTAGGAGGGTGGGCAGGGGAAGGATTAGACCATATGAAAAATGAACATAGTATTTTAGCTGCAGTTCATTCATTTTCAGCTTCAAATCCTTGTTATACAAAAAGCATGCCTAGACATTCTGTAGCTGCACCATAACCTAGGCTTAAAGGTGCCATGTGGTGCCTAAGCTTCGTATCTCAGTTTCTAACAAATGGTTACATCAGTTCCAAATTATCAAAATGCTTCTCAGCAGTTTTAGAGCCACAAAGGAATAGATAAGAGTCATATCAGTCAGAAATAGTATCATTAGTCATTATTCTATTTGTGAAAGTAATGAAAATAGAATTATGCATTTCTTAACATGTATATATAAAATTTAGCTGACATACTAGTTACTCATTAATTCAAAAGCTAGTTATAGCTTCTATAAGTCTGCTGAGTGAATTCTTCCTGTTACTCACAGGAAGTCCACTTATGTTAATGCTACGTTGCAAAAGTGATGGATGTGAGCAGAAGGTCTAGGCTAATTTCAAGAGCAAAAAATAATTAAAAAAATGCATAATATAGCTGGTCTGATTCTCTTGGTTTGTAATTATCAATGTACCTAGCTGTTTTCAAAGCAGTCTTCTGACACTTAGAGGAAAGAGCAGCTGAATAAGGAACTGTAGCATATGTTTCTGATACTTTTTGCACTGAAGTAAAGCCTGAAAGTGGCTGGGCGATTCTTAGGGCGCTATCCAAAGAATTAGACCAAAAGAATAAAAAGTTCCCTGTGCTCAAGGAAGCTTTGGACATGAGCAGCTCCAGTCAAACATCTTTTGAAATAAAGAGGCTGTTTGTGATTTGGACATGGAGATCTGCTGTTCTAAAGAAATAATAGCTTTTTAAAAATATACTGGAGTTTTCTAAGCCCCAGGGCTGGCCCTTGTATTGGGCAGGGCAGGACAGCCACCTCAGGCGGCCAGAGCTGTGAATGCCATGCAACCTACCCTGTTCAATATAAACTAGTCTTATATTGCTGCACTGGAGAACACTGACCCATCACCAGTGTTGGAAAGAGATTCAGCTGCATATGGAAAGAGGGACTGTCATCCTGCCCTTTATTTCAAGCAGTAAAAATATCTTTGGTTAGTACTGCCAAGCCCTTCATGGCCAATGTATTTTCCCAGTATGATGAGTAACATATACATTAAAGTACGTTTGCACAACTGGTGCACAGAAAACTGGGTATTATTATATGCAGGGAAGGGGTAATCACGCCGATTTGGATGTCAGGGAAGAGTTAGAAGTTTCCAGTTTCTCAGAGGGAGAAAGCATTCCCCAAGGGTGGGGAGGAGACCAGTGAATCTAACAGAAGAGAGCAACAGGAGCAACAGGGAGGGACAGGATGTTCCCAGGAAATGCAAGGGTTAAGTTCTAGCTCAGGTTCGGAGGAGGGGAGATACAGGCCAGCTCTAGCGAGGAGGTTAGAAAAAAGAGCGGGAAAGTGGAGGGAAGGATGCCTTCGCCATTTTGAGGGTGGCTGGTCATGGAGAAGCAGAGCTCAGAAGGTATCTGAAATAAGTGACTCTGAGGAAGAATAGTTAAGAACCATTTATAAGATTGTTTTGTTAATATGCAATAAAAAGTTATAAAAGAACAAGAAGCGTTTGTGTGGTGATCTGAAGAGGACAATGACCAGTCCTGACATTGGACTCCGTCTTTTTTGTGCCAATGCCAGCCCTTTTAAGGGGATGAAGCTGTGAAAAAGATCTACTTACAGGGAACATTAACAAAAAGTATGAACTTCCCAAATAAACTTTCCAAATTGCTTAATCATGTTAATTTCAACTCACAGCAGACGCTCACACTGCCTCCTACTGTTTAAACCCAACAGTTTTCTCATCAGAAAGAGTCCAATTGAATTACGACACATGGAGTCAGTCAGACCTTATTTATATCACTTCTCACATTAAAATCAAGATGAAGGTGAATTAGTTCAGGCAATTCCTAGCACATAATTCACCCCCACCCACCCAAATACTCAATTACATGGAAGGACAGAAATCTAAACCTTTCGCTCCATAAATTGTGGTAATTTACAGTTCCTCTTAGGAGTGTATAAAGTATACAGTAAAAAATAGCACAACTATCTGTATCACTAATTATATCTGATACAAGTTACAAGCAGTGAGATTTACTTCACATTCTGCTCCTGATATGTTCCTTTAAACAGTAATATGTCAGAGGAAATAAGATAATTATTTTAAATTTTACACTGGATAATTTATTTATTTATTTAATAAACCTGTGTATCACCCTCCATCCATGGATCTCAGGGCAGTTCACAACATAAAAATACAAGATAAAAACATAATTTTAATAAGAACAAAAAAACCAAAAACCAATAAACATCCAGCCCCACCCCGTTCCCCTCCCACAAACACCTTTAAAGGGACATAGAATGTTAATCAGCCAAAGGCCTGGTTGAGGAGAAACGTCTTTGCCTCGCACCTAAAGCTGTATAATGAAGGTGCCTGGTGAGCCTCTCTGGGGAGTGAAGAAAAGGCCTGTTCATGTGTCACCACCCTCCAGATCTCTCATGGACGAGCCACACAAAGAAGAAAGAAGGGCCTCAGATTATGATCATAGGGTTCATATGGAGAGACACAATCCTTGAAGGTTGTGAATCTCAGAATTTTCTCACCAACCATTCTGATTCCTCAAAACTTGTTTCTTTCTTTCTTTCTTTCTTTCTTTCTTTCTTTCTTTGTTTATAAAGTCTCCATAAAGAGCACATGGAAATGGACAACCAGTACTCTCTTGCTCCCAAAAGAGGTAGTGGCAACTGGGTGGTAATTATTGTAAACTTCTGGGTCCAAGGAGGAGTTAAATGCAGCTTCCATACATACACATTCACCACTCTCTGGACCCACCCTATCAACCCACCCACTACCCACCAGCTCAAGCCACAATGGACAAGAGTCAAACTCTTAGAAGCAAGATGGCTTCTAAATATCAGCAGCTTTCAAAATTGGACAGGATGGTGCACTGGACATCTCATTTGGACCTGTACTATCAGTGGTGTTCACATGCCTGTGGAGACTATTAGAGAATAGTGATTTTACCCTGAAAGTACTGAGCAAAATTGTCACAGCAGATCTCAGAATCTCCCTTACGCACCCCTCTTCTTCACACCTGTGCCAAAAACCTTTCCAGCCCACTCCTTCCCTTGCTTTCTATACTCAACTTTCAAGTGGAGAAAGTCTTCAGTTCTCCTGCTGAAGCCAAGAGGAAGAGAGCATCTTTGAGCAAATATGGCCACACTGGCAACACAACAAGCAATAGAAAATAATGGGAGTTGCATATATTAATTGTATAATGGTCAGACACATTTCTGACTAGAGAATACTGTGTGATATCTTCCCCTGTGTTGTTTTCCCATTGCTCTTGTGTGTGAGAGAGGGACGTTAGGCAGGAGAACAGGTTACCTAAACTTATTCACATCCTCATATGGGGTGATATGTCCACAGAAAATTTTCTGTTTCATTAGCAGGAATGAACAGATGCCAACAGCAAATACAATATTAGGCAAGGCTGACAGTGTCAATGTTTGTTTACTAAATGTCGGAGGATGTTTACTAAATGTAAGAATGTTGGCGGAATCTGTTGACAACAGGCTAGCAAGCAGATTTCCTTCCACTCGCCCATTCAACGAACCTGATTCCTCCTATGCTACGGATTCTTTTTGCCCGAATACGTGAATGCGAAAGTGTACCCATTGCCCTCAACATGCTCTTGCCCATCCTCTCTCTCACACATCCGTGGACTTAAGTCTCTATAAACTGAAAGTGAAATGTTCACAACAAAAGTTGGCAAGAAGAGCAGCTGAAATATCACAGGATGTTCTCCCTTCCGCAAGAGGCAGGACTAGTTTTTGCTGTGAACAATTGCTAATGTGTGTGCTCAGCGCATTGTCAACAAAGCAGCAAGCTCATGACTGAAGAGAAAACTGTGAATAAATGTGAGGAACTAGACACAGGCATGAGAAGCCTCTCTTGTTACTATGAAAAAACAGATAAGCCTTCCATTTTACATTCATTGTTTCAAGGCACAGGAAGCTATGTTTCCCTATTTGAAGAAAACTGAAGTCACAGTTTGCATTTCACCCAGAAACAGCCTGACACAATTAAACAACAATTATAACACTTTGATGCCAGAATTAGACAGCAATGCAGACAGGTGTAAGAAACATATGAACAGCTAACAAAACCTTACAATCCTAACATTTGTCAACAAAAAGCTTCCCATATAAATAGTTTATTGCATTTTAATAAACAACATCATATATAAGATAGGGATGCCCTCTTTTTCCAGTAAGACATCAGAAAGGGAAAGGAGACACTTGACACAGAAGCAACTGTATGCTTCGGCAGCAGAAGATGCTCTGAGGAATGACAAGAGCAATTTGCATTTCTATAGTTTCTTTTGTGTGCCCAAACTCCCTAAAGCATTTTGCAAAGCGATAAGTATCATACCTGGCTAGGAGAAGTGATAGGATGTCAATACAGTAGCAGCTCTCTGTGCAACCAGACAC